GATCTACTGACACCAGACATGAGTTTGGTGTACCTTGGGTACTACTCTAAGCAACGGGATTTCCTGTTGTAAAGTCATTGCTGCCAACTTAGAAGCTCAGAATTGCTATGTAGCTGTTGTCTGTCTCAGAGATTGCACGCTGACTCTCAAGATTATTAATGTCCAGACTTAGCAGTGATGCAAACCCTTGCTATGTGTTCTGGAAATCCTAGAATTGGAAGCTCAGTGTCTTCCCAAGTCTCAGAGTAGAGTGCTGCACTCAGTCACAGTCCCGTGGATAGCCAAGAAGCTCTGTGATCTTGAACACATTACTCACCCTCACCTTCTTACTATCCTCTGGGGTACTGAGCCAGTGTTAGTCCATATAGCCTATAGGGTTGCTGTGCAATTCAAATGATATATTCTATTGAAAAGTCCATGAGTAGTAAAAGTCAGTCAGTAATAGCTTATAACAGCAGCAGAGTTAATTCTATGCCCAACCGTTCCATACATCTCCCACTTAGGGTAATGACAGTGACTTAATGTGAGAGTGCAGAGGGCAACAGCAGGATCCTTACAGATACTCAACAAAAGTTTAATATTTCCCACCATGCCAGAATGTGTTGTTGATACCCTGAGAATTACCGGGCTATCATCCTGAACCACAGCAAAGCTCAAACTTCTGGAACTGGGTCTGGCAGACTGTGATGCCTCTGCCTCTATGTCAGTGGGGCCACTATTTGTCTTTAATGCTATTGTTAATATATTTAACTTAATAATTCTATTAATGTATTTAATTTCTCTACCTTAGGTCCTGAGATAATGAGGAGAGCAGAGGGAAGCTTTTCTTAAGTATTCCTTCATTCAAGGAATCATTATGACAGGTAAAATAAGAGGACTAAACATCAACAAAGAAGGAAATTAGTACCAATGCTGATGAGGGGCAAAAGATATTGAGAGAAAATGAAGGCAACCCTGTGAATAAAGATATGATACTATATTAACACTCAATGGGATGGGGTACCAGCTGCCTTGGTAGAGAGTATTTCATATACTCCCTTGAGAACAGAAAATACACTGTGAAAATGAGTACATATGCCTGGTTCTAATATGATCAAAGTGAATTTCCTTTGATGCAGCAATTCAGCACTTAGGAATATGTCTGCCTTACAGAAATGGTCTGACAGGCTGCAGGAATAGCTGCCTAGCTCACTACATAGGTAACAATATATACTGTCATGTCTGCTACCTCCCTGTCAATGCAAAAACTTTAAATAATGGCTAACAAAACAAATAACAAAGTAAGTTTCAGTATCCTATGTATATTTACATAATTGACAAAGAGAGATACTTTTGAAATATTGGCTTTCAAAAGTATTATTAATTCATTGAGAATTTCATGCAATGAACTTTATGATATTTACTTCTATTTCTTCATCCTCACTCCATTCAGACCCCTCAATTAGAATAATGGGAAAGAATCCCATCGGTTTTCATACACACACAAACACACACACACACACACACACACACACACATACACACACGCACACAACCCTCACCCTAAATATTTTTGAGAAATGCTAAAAGAATGTGAACCAATCTATTATCAAGTGTCTGTTTTTCAGTCCTGTTAGTGGAAACAGGTAGTTCAATGGTAACATGTCAGGTCTCACTTTACAAAATTCCAAACCATTTATTCCTCGTTCCTTCCTTCCTCACTCTGTTCCTCTATTTTTATTACTATGTCCTGTCTTCCTCTCTTCCCTCCCAGCTTCTCTTCTTTCCTTCCCATCTCTCACTTATTCTATTATAAACAGCACATATTTCTTTCATCATAAAACATAATTGAATTAAAAATCTCAGTGTGCACTCATTATCTTTTACACCATTCTTCAATAAACTGATACATTTGTTATTCTGATCTCCTTCTGCTTTCATGCAAATCTTCATAGTAAGGAAAGGTAAGTTTAAAAGCAAAAAGGAAGACCAGAATTAACATGTGCTGAGCTTCCTTTCATATTAAGCATAGTGATGGATATTCATTTATTGGCATAGGTAAAAATGTTCAGCAACTTGCTTACATGTCAAGGGTGGTATGTAGCATGCTTTTTCAGCTGCCATCTGACAAATAATGACAAGGAGATTTTTTTATTTATTATAAAAGCTTGGGCAATGGCTTAGGCTGGTCCCACCAGCTCTTGTAACTTAATTAACTCATTTATATTAATCTACATACATTGCGCCATGTGTCGTTACCTCTCTTCCATCTTGTGCCACCTGTTTCCTCTCCATGTCTGGCTGGTGACTCCTCCTTTCTTCTGCCAGGTTTCCACTCTGCCTGGAAGTCCTGCATGTACTTCTTGCATAGCTATTGGTCATTCAGCTTTTTATTATATCAAGCACAGCAATACATCTTCACACAGTGTACAAATATCCCACTGTGTCCACCCAACAGTGGTAGACATTGCAAGTGTCACAGAACTTTCATATCATAGACTATAACTGGCTAAAAACCCTGCAATCACGGTGCTGGAACACAGTCACAAAGCCACTATGGGATACTGGGAAGATCAGGAGAGCACCATGGTCTGGCTGGGCATACAGCTCAGGGTACCACTAGCATCCATGGGCATCAGAACTTTTCTATATGTAACAGTGGACATAGTCATATTAGTGCATAACATTTTAACATTAACTCTTGGGTCATGCAACCCCAAGCCATTGTCACTTTAAAACTGTCTCCCTTCAGTTTCCATACTGCTCCCTGCAAACCTGCATATTTGAGCTCAAAAGGAGGTTGGCACAATTTAACTGGGCTGGGACAATTTAATGCTCAAGGCAAGTTCTAAGATTGAAATGTGCATATAGGATTACCTCTGGCAATATGATTTCAAAAGACTGTAGGATCGCTGTTTGCATCCTTAATTATTATTTTTATAATTATACATACTCATGGGGCATAGTATGATGGCTCCACATAGGTATACAATGTACAATGATAAAACAGAATAATTTATATTTCTTTCTTCTGAAGGATTTATCTCTTGACTTTCGAACCTTGAAACACTTCTCTCCTAGTTCTTTGTAAATGCGTAATAAATGCTTGTAAGTTGTAATCATCCCAAGCTCCTTAGGACACAGGAGCCTATTCCTGTAGGTGGCCACATCATGGCCTCAGGCAGACAAAAGCGGAATGGGGGGAATTGAGACGAGGCTTTCCTTGCTGTGCTCTTCCTACTGGATCTGCTGACCCACCAGAAAAAGGGCACCAAGGAAAGGCATGCCTCAAGCTCCTCCATTTCTGCTTCCATTACAAGTTCACTGACAAGATGCCTGCATATTCCTACTCCTTAACTGCGTTTTGATACTCAGTTCCCATGGATTTCCCATGTCTGCATATTGCTCATACTTTGTACCTTTTAAAGAACAGACTTACGTGGTTCTCTCTATAGATCACCAGAAGCAACAGAGCCCACGCTTCAACTGTGCTGATGCAGGTAGATCTCTATGGAATTGTCCATCTCTGGCAGATGGAGGAGGACTGTGAACTCAGGACCATATTGCTGAGGAACAACTTTGGTGTTTGCCTTCTCAAAGGTAGATGCAACTCTTTGCGATGTCAGCACTCAAAAGGAATGTGTTCTGTTCCCTTCTTGCCAGATTTTATTCTTCTTGTACCCGACCCCCATGAACTTAACAAGAAGATAATGGTCTACAGCAAACATATTTTTCCTACAGGAATTGGGGCCTGTATCTCTGCTCTCAACCCTGCCACATCCTGGCTGTGCAGCATGTAGAGACCTGTGGCTCTATTCAAGCTTTGAGTTTTCTTTCCTAAACATTTCCCTGTGACTTATTTACAAGAAGATTCCCATCATGCTCTATAAGGGCAGTATAGAGGCTCTGTCTTCCACATTTCTATCTTAGGTCTAGTACGGCATGCTGGCCCATTGGAACCAATCTGAAGAGAGATGAAATGAGGGCATTAAAAGCAAGCAGGTGGCAGGGGTGCGTTGACTGCCAATCCTAGACTTCACATGTTCTAGCTCACTGAAACCATCTAACCCCTCTGCAACGCAGATCAGTTGCAGCCATACCATCTGGTAAAAGATGAATGTGTAACTTGCCTAAGTTCACAGAAGTGGCATTACTACAAGTGTCAACTCTGCTTCTATTGTCATTACCTATTGATATATTCTACGTTGTAAGTGCAGACTCCATTTCAATGCACTATCTCAGTACTAGGGAGAGCAGGCGAGGAGAAAGGAGGGGGCATGGAAGGATGGAGCGAGAAGGAGAAAGCAAACAAGACCATTAGTGGTGACCTGCTTCTGCCTTCTATAAGGTGCTTTCTGTTTTCCTTCTGAAGCTTCTGGAGAGTATGTTAGGGGTCCAGGCACTGTCATTAAGCCAGAGGAAAGTGAAAGTTCTATTTTACTCAACATTGGAACATGCCCAGGTGGACAACGAAGGGTGTCAGCTTAGGTATGACACTCTAAGATGTGAAAAATGAGAATCTCCATCCAGAAGACAGTTTCAGGATGGCAGGATGCCTGATATGTATTTCACTGGAGAAGGCTGAAGAGGCTGATTTATGGAAGTATCATGAACTTTCTATTTTTTGGTTGTCAGAATTCCCAATGTATTTCTTGGTGAAAGAAATTCAGAGTTGCTTTCTTTATGAACAAGAGGGAAAAAGACAATTTTAAAGCCCAACAGAAGAAAAAAGAGTTTTAATAAGAATGTGTGGAAATGGGCTATATTCTTGACAGTAAAAAGTCTGTTAAGGGAGTCAGTTAAGGAACTTTCAGAGGTGTTGGACTATGGACTCTCTGATACCCCCAAGACCCCAGTTCCTGATTCTTTAGTTCCGTCATTAGTGAAAACCCACAAGACATGTGACAAATCTAAGAGTCACAATGACTGATCAGGAAGGATCCTGCCTATGCCCCCAACCCATGCACCTCTGTCCATGCCCCAGATTGCCCCAGGAAAGACAGAATGTTAAAAGGCCTCACCTTTCTTCTCAAAGTCTACTTTCTCTTCTCCTGCCCGTCCCAAGCTGTCCAGGCCATGGGTCATCTGGCTGCCAAACTCATCCTCCCGGGAAACATGGTTGGTCCGCCTGGGTGGATCCTCCTCCTCTTCATAGTCATAGTCATCCAGAATGGGGGTCTCCCGGATGGGTACACCAATGACTGAGTTGTGTGCCTGAAGCCTGGAAGAGCGGAAGCTCTCTCTGGCCTGTGGGCCCAGCAGCACTGATGGGATGTAGTGAATCTCGTGAGTGGCTTCGGTGCTGGCGCTCTTCTGGGGGAGGCGCCGGCGCTTCTGCCAGCGCCGCTGGGCATACAGTGCCACCGTGAACACCAGCAACAGGAGGAGTAGTGCAATGAGTCCACCCTGGAGTAGGAAGAAAGAAGAGCAAAGACATGGGCCGCTGACTTGTGGATTGTAGGGCCAGAGTGAATCCTGTCTTTCTCACTTAGCCTGGGGTCTATGGATTCCAACAGCTGCGGATTCGTAGCTAGAGAGACACTCCTTCCTGGTCTAGCTTTTTCACCAAGAAACCACGAGACTTCGGGGAAACAGTTTGACTTCTCTTTGCTTTTAGTTCCCTAGCCATCAAAGATGGACAAGAGTCTCACTCTTTCTTCTTTAGAAGTTTAAGTTTGATATGAAGAGCAAAGGGTATTGCTAACAGCCATGTTAGAACAGCCTAGCTTGTTAAATGCAGGCTGTTGCTTTCCCGTTCCTCCCACCAGCCAAGAGGCCCCAGGACAATCCATCAAGCTCTCTTAGCCTTATTTTATTATCTACAAAATGAGTTCCCTACGGGCTTAAGAGATAGTAGCATTCTGTATACCCTATTACAACTATAAGATAGTATTAGGTTGCATTATCAAATCCAAACATTTCTACTGTTTATATTTTTTCATTTTCAGTGCTTTAATCTTTGGCTTTCAAGAAGGGGCCTGGGACAAAGCAGTTGCTTAAAAACGTTTGTAGAATGAATGAGCACACAGGTGACTGAAAGCAAAGCTTCGTAATGCTACTTTAACCTGAAACTTAAAGTAAAATGATGTTAATTCGTCTTTAACCCATCCCACATCTGCATAGTATACATTACTGAGAAATATGATGGTGGCATGTCTACAAGGGCAGCTAATCTGACTTGTAAAATTCATGAAATGATCTGGTCTATGAGTTCCTAAGGAGAAACTATTCCCCCAAAATGCATTTATCTCCCAGGTCAGTGCCAAAGGTAGACAGCAGCAGTTTTTGTCTACTCTCCCCTAATCTCCACAACGCCAGACAAATCTGTGTCGCAGTTATCTTTCTTCCCTTTGTGTCATGTTCTGCCTTTTGGAGATTAGGTACCACTTTGTTTAGTTCTGTTTGTGTGATACCCACACAGGAAGGGGATCAGCCCAGTTGTATGTGAAGTGGGCATGGTGAGGAAAGGAGATTGGAACCTTGTGTTTACTGTTTTATTTAGTGTGCTTTTGTTTCTTAATTCTAAAGTTTATATTCTTTCCATTTCACTCAAGTAGTTAGATCACAATTTTAGTGCAGGCACAACCAGGTCCTGGTCACTATAAAGTCAGAAATTAACCCCGGTCACAATGTCTTGAGAGAAGGTGACTGTGGTGGATACTATTTACATGTCTTATGGTCTTTCCACTGACTTGGTCCTGACATCCTGCTGACTACACACACAATGAAAAATATGATTTTCTTTTATCCAGGACCCAAAACCTCACTATAGTGAAATATGCATCCTCTCCCAAAGCTGGTATGGTTCAAGGGTAACTGGGTGTAAGGTTGGGGTAGGAGCATTGGCACAAAGCTGATGTCCTACCTTGATGTTGGCAGTGATCCACCCTAAGGTCTCAAGGAATGTTAACCTAGATATCGGAACTTAGAAACCAACGACTCACATTACACAGACCCCCATTACATGTTTTTATGTAGATATGCACATGTATAATTTTGTATGAAGTGTGTGAGTCCAAGGCTTCTTTGTAAAGGGAGATAAGATGAGAGCTGATGATGTGGAGAACTTATCAGAAACTGGCAGACAGTAAGCATGGGATATAAAGGTTCTCAGTCATGACACCTAAAGTATTGTCATGTCAGAAAAGCTAAACAGTGGAAAAATGGTCACTGCAAACTGTAGGGCTGTGCATAAGCATAAGGGCCTTGAGAGAACCATGACTATACGGCTGTCTCATGTGGACAATCTACTCATGAAAGGAGTGACTCAGCAGGAATGAATAGTGTGCTTAGTCACCAGCAGTGGCTAAGAATGCTATATAGACCTACACTAAGGGAGCCACGTTCCCACTACAGCTTCTTTCACCAGGGACAAGTAATGAAAAAGGAAGAGCAATTGATGTGTCAGCAGACCTGGGCATCCAGCCCCTGAGCACACAGCAGGAGTCAACCCAGTCCCTGGGTCCTGAAAAATCTTGCAGGGTAAAACAGGAGTAATGGAGGGAGGGAGGGATGGATGAGGGGCTAGGATTGTGAATTTTCATAAAGCAAGTCAAAGAAAAGTCAAGGCTCAGGGATGGTACACTGAGGCCATTTGGTCTCAGGGTCAACCTGATGCCAAATCCAACTTGAAGGGGAACATCCTGGGTCTTTTAAAGAAAAACAAGGATGGGTGAAGGACTGAAAGTCCTATAAAAAAGACAGCAGACTATTAGTTTGCAGCTGGTTTGCATGAGTGTGTAAGTGCACAAGAGTGTACAACGGTATTTGATTTACTTCTATAAGGAACTGAGAATTTCACTGTGTTCTCAGGGTGACAGGAGGGAAGAGATGAAACAGGAGAAGCAAGTCCCCCTCTCTTCCAGAATTTTCCTTCCTCGGGTATCTCTACGCAGGATCATTCTCCTCTCCCTATTCCATTACTGAGAATGGGCCGCAGATTCCCCAGAAAAGGCAGACAAGGATTTAAGGCGTAGAGGGTTGTGACACGAAAAGCCTCCGTCCAGGACAAGTGATTCTCTGATTCACTCACTGCATGTGAAAGGCCTTGGAAAGTGTACTGCAATAGTTTATCTCCTTGGGCTCCAGCTCCCTTGGAAATGATTATTCTTACTGTGAAGAATTATGATAGCAATTAAAAAAACACATGATCTGAGTAAAAGGTGACCACTACAGAAAGTTCACAAATAGAAGCCTGCTTCCTTTAATTTCTGTACTCCTCTACTCTAACCAGTCGGAGAACGGCATCCAGACTTCCTAGTCTGGCACTCAGTATCATTCAAGAATGGGCCCAGGCTCCCTTCGCATGCTTCCATTCCCTGCAAGATCTCACGTGAGACCCAAACTGACTGATTAAACTGTCCCCAAAATGTGACGGTCCCCTATGTCAACTCATTGATCCCCTCCACCTAAAGTACTGTTTCACTCCCTCAAAGAGTGCTGAATAATGTACCCTAAGGAACATGCCCACACATGATCTCAAGAGGTGACCTCATTTGGAAACTGAAACTCTGTAGATGTGATTAGTTAAGATGAGAGCATATGGGATTAGCGAGGACCCTAAACAAGATGGCTGCTGTCCTGTTAAGAGGAGAGAACAGAGAGATATGCACACATAGAAAGAAGGTAAAGTGAAGACAGAGACAGAGATTAGGGTGACCCATCCACCGGACATAGATTGTTACAATCAATGGTCCTTTCTTCACAAACTAGGGCAGCTTCTCCCACAGAGCTTCTAGAATTAATGACCCTGATGGCTGTGGATTGGGGGGGGTTCTGACCTTGAGGTATGACAGAATATCTTTATTTTGTTTTAAGCCACCTAGCTTATGATAGTTGGTTGCAGGAGTTCCAGCAAGCTGACCTGCTCATTATGAGCCCTGAGCCTTTCAGCTTAGAGATTGTGTCTTCTGAGGACATCTCCATTGCCTTTATATCACCATGAATAAACACCAGAGAAAGCAAGGAAGGGAAGAAGAAAGATTCATTCCACATATAGTTCCAGTTCATCATAGCAAAAGCAAAGTGACTCAGTATGACATTGGGGAGCAGACAGACAATGTAGGATCTCTCATTTTCCCTTCTAGTTACATCTAGCCTATGGGATAGTGCTGCAACATTTGTGATGAGTCTTTTCCCACTGAATTAAGCCTTTTCAGAAGCATCCTCACAGAGTTGTGCCTTACACATTCTCAGCCCAATCAAGTCTGTGACTGACATTAACCATCACAGGTTATGTGTCTCTCCCTTTTTTCTAAGTCTTCAAGGGCTACCAGTTATCTAACTACACAAAGAATCATCTTTCTGGCCAGCTTTTTAGTCCAGGTTCTGACCTGCTATTTGCCAGTATTTGGTGTACTGCTTAATACAGCAACTGTAAGAAACATCCACGTGCCTAAAACCCTCAGTAGACAAGCCAGACAAATGCAAGTATAAGATTGCCTGTCATTAGCTATAACCACAGCAGCCACAGAGTTCCTGATCATACTTTGTATGACTCCTTAGCTGCTTTTCTTTTCTTTTCAGAGCACCTTCACCTAGTTTGCTTACACAAACAATATTAAAACTCATAAATTAACTAGTCTAAAAACCAACACTCCCAAGCTACCAAGAGAGCCTCCAGAGGACTCAGAGTTAGGACGCCATTCAGCCTGGCCTCATTTCCACCCACTTTTCGTGCTAAAATATCCAGGCACCGAGAAGAAGCAAGAGAAAGGCAAGAAGAGGATAATGGGGAAAATGCTTCGTTTGACAATGTGTCATTCAGAAACTGATTATTTCTGTCTCCAGCCTTTTTAATATTCCCTCACAATGGCCAAGTCGCAAGGGGATTTTGCAGTCCAAGGCTGGATTTATAATACTCTGTTCAGCAGTGATAAGAACAGGGGCCTTTAATCCTCAGAGCTGTGAACACGCATATTCTCCCAAGTAATGTCCTTCTCTTCTTGCCACTTGTTTCTGGCCCCTGGCAGCCAGCCCCATGATAGCTCTGGGCAGGTGACCCATTGGATGTTCTGTCTGGCCAAATGAATAGTGGCAGAGTGAGTATGGTAGCCTGGGACAGGCCACCAGGTTATCTGGGAATTCCCTCTGGGTCTTTAGATTATGCATAAGCTCTGAGGATTGTAAGAAAATAGCCCAGTCCCTTTGTGGTTCAGAGAAGGAAACTGTTTCTGCCACTAAGAGGATGAGAGTGATTTGGTCAAGATGACAGAATGTCCTACAAAGGTTTCAGAGACAGAGTTTATAGTCACTACCTACCAAAGCTGCTACTAAACTTGTCAATCAAGAGAATTTGCTTAATGAAAGAGGTTCTGTGACATTCTACTTCCCTCCTGTCCCAGTTTGCAGTATCTTTCATTGTGATCATTTTAATGTATGCTGAGTGATCTTGGCTTTATAACTCT